GTGTGTACAGGAATTGAAAAGGCATGAGTCAAGGGATATGATGTATCTTTATTATAAGGTAACCATCGAGTAGAAGATGCTATCATAAGTATTGAGCAGTAGGCACAAGGAATATTAGGGTGATCGAGTAAAATTTTGGTTTGAAATTGAAGTATAAGTCGTTTAAGGGCAGAGGTTAAGTGTTGATACGAATGATCAGTAGATTTGCTAGGGGTAAAAATGGTGGATAAATTACTAGGTACAGGTGTATTTGATAGATTCTGGTTTATCTCATTCCTACGAGTATAAGGATCAAAGACAATATCTAAAGGAGAAATGACAGGAGCTTCATTGGATTGATATAATATTTCAGCAAAAGAGAAAAGTTGAAAGTGTTGAATATTATAGGTGGACATAGTCAATTTTGCAAGAATTTAGAAGGTAACAGAAATTTGGTATTATGCAGATAAGTTGTTGGATTAAGAGGTATGAAGACAATTTTGAGTTTATATAAAGTTTTTTGTTTTTGTAAAGGTACATAAAACGCAACTGAGATAAGTATAAGAGTACGAGTACAAGCATTTAATTAATGATAGTATATAATATTAGTTGTATTAATATAATAATATTAAAATAAATATTGGAAATTGTGAGATTTTTCTTTTTTTTATTATTATACTATTAAAAACAATTAATTATATTATTTAAGTAATATATGTTTATCGTGAAAATACAGGATTTAAAATATATTTGATGATAACGTGAGAAGTTATTCAGTAAGAATTAATGATGCAGAACAAATAATATTTTAATTTACAAGTTAAATTTATATATGTATTCGATATTTTTTGTACCGTTAGAGCGATTTAGACAAAAATATGATAAATAAGTAGAGCTTCTGTTTTATAATAATACAAAAAAAATAGTAGTAGTCAGATGATTTTATTTTTTCTATTTACATTTTTAAACTTAATATTTATTTATCTTAAATTTTATTTCAAAGGAAATCACGAGGAGTAATACATAGTAATTGAGGATTCTATTTTTTTAAAGGTAAAGTGGTCTTAAATTTTTTCTTGTTTGTTTTGCGTTTTTGTCTGGAGAAAGGGAAGGATCGGTGGAAGCAGTTGCAACAGGTTTATTGTTGTCAACGGGAGTAATATCAATTTCTCTTCTAGTATGTAGGGGAGAAATGGTATTAGTATTGGTATTGGGTGAATTATCGTATTGCGTATTTTCAGGTATAGGATTTATGTTGTTAAACTTTGGAGGATGTTGATTAAGGCGAACCTGAGAAATAATATTAGTAAAGTTAACAGTGGTGAGGATATCATTTGATTTTCTAGCAGTTGGCGAATGTAAGGAAAGTTTAGATTTTTTTTGGGAAGGTTGAGAAGATAAAGTAGCATATTTTTCTTCAATACTATCTAGTTGATTATCTAATTCTTCGTAAGATCGTGATTTTTCTTTACCCGAAGTACTTGAGGATTGTGATTCGTTATTTGAATAAGTCCATTCGATATCAGAAGCGACAATATGTGGAATCCTAGAAGATCTGATTTTTAACCTTCCAACAACTAACAAAACAGTTTTTTGTAGATTATTTTTAACGCATTGTAATGATTATTCTCATTTACATAGGATATGATAACATTTGAAGGAACATGTTTATTATTAGTAATACCATTGTATAAACGTCTTGTGAGCATGAAGCTTTCTCTCCCTCCTTCATTGTCTGGATGATAAGAACTTTGTACAACAGGTGCAGAAAAGAGAAGCAGGGGTGATGAGTACAGGAGATCAGAGGAAGTGAGAATGTAGGTGTCATTAGAAAATGATACGGGTACGGTTTGGATTAAAACAACCTACATAAAGATGAAGCTAATTAGTTTATTGTATAAATTTTATAATAGGTAAGAAAGTCGGAAGTGGAGTTATACATATTTAGTATTTTCTTCATATACATATCATCCGATCATTAAAACAATGGAGTTTTTTTCAAAAGGTGATATTAAAGATTCAGAGTTATTAATAAAGCCTTTAAATGTAATTTCTCTGAAGGAGTCAACATCTTTATTGATATGATATAAACCAGTTCCGGAGAGATATTTATCACTACCGGTAATGGTTTTAACAAAACAAAACGATATAAAGATCGAAGTCATGATAAGATGTTTAGTGAGGGTAAAGGCGTCGAGAAGTATAGATAAGTAGCAGTATTTTATTGTACTTTTTTTGATAAGCATGGTGAATTATTCTGATGAGTTCATTCTTTTTATAGACGTAGAAACAATAACGAACAGATCAGTTCTTGTAAAAATATTTAATTGTGTACAGCATAAGACAATCGATAATTGCATGAGGGGTATCAATGAAGATATCATGAGTATAACGGTTTGGTAAGCGTTTATTTCTTGATTTAGATATTTATGATACTTTTTTTTCTTTAAAAAAATTCTATGACGCTGTTATACTTGGCATGGCTGTAAGAACAACAATGTTAGTATTATGTCGTCGTGAAAAACTCAGATCGGGGCTATGAAGAACCTTTATTTTATCAGTAGATAACAGGATGTAGTCAACGAAGCCAACCCGAAAAAAGTATTATAAAACATGTCAATCGGTATGAATTCAATATTTTATATTTTTTTAATTTATTCAATGGTCAAGATCAAGCATTACAGTTTCAAATATGTAAATAATATTTTTTAAATAGTTTGCACGAAAAAAATAACATAATGAGAGGCTTAAATAAACAAAATGTTCATTGGTTGATTTCGTCTAATTCATACAAACGTATAACGAAAGTCTAAAGGTTAACTCGAAATGGAATCATGATTATGAACTACCGTAAATGGGTTATCTGTCACGAAAAACGTTGTTCGTGAGCAGCTGCAAAAGCGACTTTCTTGGCAAGCGATTGATATTATTTTCAGTTATGCATTCGGGTAATCGTACGATTGAGGATTCATTACAAATCAAGAGTAAAAATCTATTGATCAAAGGTACATTGTTTTTGCATAATCAAGTTTTAAGTAATAAAGATAATTGTGGGGTAATCAGTGAATATTCGTGCGGTACACAATAAATAAGCATGCAGCGTATCGTTGATCGATAAGTTTATTATTCGCAATTACCTTGTTTACTAAATTAGTACGTTGAAGCAATGGAACCGGTTTTTTTACAAGTACGTACGTACGTACAAAAATGAACGTTACATGTTTTTATGTATAATTAATCTTGATCGATAAACAATCACATAAAGCAGCATTTAAAACGACGAATACGATAAGTATACTGATAGAAGATTAGATAAGTTTATTTCTTTTTTTTTACTCTTATATAATTATTTTTTTTTACTTACTTAGGTTTAATCATAGCGTTATGTTGGTATTGTTACTTTATTTAGTTTTTTGGCGGTAGGGAAATTTAGTAGAAACGATTATCCCTATAAAGAATAGTAAATGGGTTAGTTATGTAGTACTTAAGCACGAGGAAAAATAATAATAGCACTAACCAAATCAGATCAAGATTGTTTTACTTCGATTTCACATTACTAAAGCCTACTAGCACCAATTGGTATAGAATTTTTACAATCACATGCGCATGATCTCTAACCAATAAAAATTATTTTATAAATTTACAATTTTTCTCTGTGTAAATTCATTTAAAGATAATCTTATAAACACAAAATATTTCCAAGTCAAATTTATAATTGGTAATTAGAACATGCATTTAGGGGTGCGTGACTGTGTCAGTATCGATTTGGGAGAATAGATCATGTATAATCGAATAGATCGTATTTAATCGTTAAGCGCAGCAAAAAATATCTACGATAAACTTTTTCAACGTAGTAAGAAATATATACGATAAAGCATAAAATTTCTAAATATACGATTTATTCGTAAAATAAAATTCCTATATGTTGTCAATATTAACAAAATTAACATAAATTATTTATCAGCATAAAAAAGCAATGCTATAAATCGAATCAAGAATTTTCATTTTACGCATCTCACAAAAAGCATGTAATTCTGAATGGTTTGAAATACGCAAATCAGTAAATATAATAACAATCAATTAAACAAAATCAAAGTTCAGAGTGATAAAATACCAGAAAAATCAATCTTATTAACACATTGAATCAACGGTAAATGATTGGCTTAGCGAACCAACAAAACACTGCAGCTCTTTAATTTCAGCGATTATCAATTCATCTAGACGGCAAAAAATCCGAAATTAAAAAATTAAAAAAAGCAAAAAATAATAAAATATCGTCTTAGGATCCACATCAAACTAACGATTTTCGTTAGCAAATCAGTATTAAATGCATAAAATTTGCCAAGTCCCGTTAAGTATATTCCCTTTTACCTGAGCTCTACCTGAGCTCTACCAGAGCTCCTTAAGTTGAAGAGCAAGAGCACAAAACAGTAGTCTATATAAAACGCGATCAATTTCGTGATACAATGGTTAACCTTTTTTAACCATTTTTTTGCTATAACCGG